TGGATGAGATCACACTATTTGACACCAGGCCAGCTCCTTTTCTTTCTTTCTTTGGAGATTCTCCCAAGGCTGATGCTGCTAGGCACCGAGGGGATGTGTGATCAGAGATGAGTGGGAGAGCTCATTGTCTTGATGAAGTTCAACACCTCTGATCACCTGCTGTACAGTCGCTTCTCTCTGAAGTAGTTACGCTTCTCTGTGAAAAGAGTAATGTTTTGTTTTTTCCTCTCCCTGGAATAATCACTTTTTTCCCAGAGCATCCATATAGAAAGCTGCTCAGGAAGAATAACAACTTTTTTTTTTTTCCCCCATGAAGAAAGGCTCTTATTGGTGTTCCTACCGCTCTGAAACCTTCTAATTTTACCTAAAAAAGGGCCCTGATCTGTTACAATATGGAAGCGTGTGTTTGCTTAACACCAAGTGTGTGGACTTGCTGCCTTGGTCTCACTGGGACCCTGTGCAGGAGAACTAAAGTTCTAAGAACTAAAGGAGAACTTCCCGGTCTGAAGGGTCTTTTAAAGCTTTGATTTAAATACATAATTATTTACATTATTATCCATTCTAGAATCATGAGAAATTACAGTCTGGGGGTAAAGAAAACCCACTATGCTCTTTTTTTTCAGGGATCCATCTGTTTCCAAATCTATTGAAAGAATCTTCAAAATCTGGGAGGACAGAAATGTGTACCCCGAGGAAACCATTTTGGCACTAAAAGAAGCTCTGAGTAAGTTACTTACGCTTTGCGTTTCTTACCTTACAAACTTAACACGTGAGCTTGACGAGATTAAAGAAAATGTCTGGAATCGCCAAGTAAAATGAGTTTATTGTGTGTATCTGTTCTTTCTGCGTTTGCACCTGGCACAGACTTTAAAGTAGCGAGGCGTTGTGTGTGAGCAGCACTGAATTCACCTGTTTCCCATTTTTTTTGTACCTTTCTAAAGACAGCTCTGAATCCTTTCACGTAAGCTGGAGTTGTTCCAGCTGAGAGTAAACAGAACGTGAAGGGAAAGTGGTCCTACAAGTCCCGAACGCGGTGTCCTGGTAGAGGGCTTGTGTCCCCGGCTCTACCTTTGTGTCCCCGGCTCTATCTTTGAGTCTGTTTTAGCAAGAAGTTGTTTTTACTAATAATATTTGTGGTGTCGGAGAGAGGCTGGAAGCAAAGCTGGAGGGTGAAGTGTCCTCAAGTATTTATGAAAGAACTCTGCTTCAAAGCTGAAACAGCTAATGTTGACTGGAAACATGCGTAGTCGGTTAAAACCAGAAATTAGCCGATACTCAAATACTTGAAGGAAATTAGTCCATGTTTCTGCTTTACTTGGTTATGTCATTAAGAGCAAAAGGTGCTTCAGGAAATCCTCACGTGTGGTTTTGAGAGCCAGTTGTCGTCAGGGCAGGAGAAACACAGTGTCTTGGGTTCAGGCTTTAGCACGTGAAAAGGCTTTAGTTGGGCGTTGCATGTTGAGAAGTGAGGTTTATGCATACGTTCTGAAATCTCTATAATTTTTGTAACTTGAAAACAAAAATATTTCAGTTTACTTGTAAATCAGCTATTGTGGCTATTTTCCCAGCTTGCATTACTTGCCTGTTGAATGCTGATTTCATAAATGCCTACCTAAAGACCGGAGCGGCATAGTTTTATTTTTAGGTGCCTTGTGTTTTTCTTTTTTACTCTGGTCGTTACTGTGATTTTTGAACTGTCAGGGTAAGGGCAAACAGAAACTTGATTTAAAAATGGAAGACCATCCCACAGGTTGCTGTATTCCTGAGTAAACTTAGGTTCTCTTGGGCATCCAGCAGCTCATATAAGGAAGTTGGTCTAGGTATTTTAAAACAAATTTCTGTTCACTCTTTTACCGTGCAACCGTATGGCACCAAAAACCAGATTCTTAAAAGGAATCCCATAATGCCAGACTGCAAAAAATGAAATGTTTTCCAGGTACCACTTTCAAAACTCAGAAGCAGCTGAAAGAAACTCTCAACAAACAACCGAATAAGCCGTGGAAGAAATCGCAAAGTAAGGAAACAATGTGAACTCTCTGAACTAATCTAGCAATTGCCTTCTAGAGGAACAGAAGAAAGGCTAGCCCAAACCGGGCAAAGTACCTGGACTAAAACATGAACCAGCATGCGTCTTCCAGGCTTGTAAAGCTCCTTGCAGACTAATATGTAAAGCACCAAGGAGTTGTTGCTAGAGAACCACTTTTTAAAGGCATGAAGTAAGAAGAAAAAAAAAAAATAAAATCTTTATGAGAGTGGAGGTTATGAGCAGTAGAGGAAAGAGCTGGTGGAACCTCTTGGAAACTGGCGTTAGACTATTCAGAGGTGGAGAGACGACAGACAGAACCGTGTACTTTGGCAGCAGGAGGTGGACACTACCTCGGTGCTCAGGAACACGTCTTTGACAGCAAATTAGGTGCTAGGATAAGAGAAAACTGGAAACTGGCAGTGCAGATAATGAACTTTGGCGTCCAACAGTACCGGCAGTGCAGTCTAGCAGGAAATGCATTTATAATACACCGATCTTACTAATCTCATTATACGCTTGAATGGTCCGTAAAGCGAGATGGTGGAACGTTAGGGTGAGATGTGGCCTGCGCCTGCCTGAGATCAGAAGGTTAACAAAAGAGTTTGGAGATGTTTATTACTTGGGTTAACATCACAAGCTGCTTTCCCAAACAAAAATGCATGGATGAAAGGTTTAGTGTTTTGCTTCTTACCAGCTGTTTCTCCTGTTTTGTGCAGAAACCGATGGATTTAGTGTCTCTCGACAGTGGGATTCCTTCCCCCTGCTCTGTTAATAAGATGTCAGAACAGAGGTGTAAGAGTTTTTAAGGTTGAGAGCATGGTTAGGCCTAGTTAAGTACCAAAGGCAGACCCTGTCCGAAGGAAATGGTGGGCTGTCTGCGTCAGCTCTAAGTCTGGCATTTAGGAAATAATATTACCTTCCTTGTAGACAGGTATAAACTCATTGGATAAGGCTGTTAGATCAACCAACCCTTGCAGGGACTTGTCTTCCCAGCGGTAGAGCTGGAAAAGGTATGCACAGTAAATTCTTATAGCATGTTAAAAAAAAAAAAAGAGGGGGGGGCGATAGTATAATTTGTTGGCCTCAGCCGCAATCTAGCTGCACGTGACTGTGTCCCGATTAGCTAACAGAAAGCCAGAGCACTGCGCAGAGGGGAAAATGTAATGAGTAACAACAGCCTGCGAGTCTTTGGTTGAATTATGTTAAAAACTGCTTTTTGTGACTGACTTTTAGTTCAGGTGTGGTTCCTTGGTTTCTTTATACTTTTTCTTTATTCCAACAGCATCCACGAACCCGAAAGCTGCTTTGAAGTCCAAGATTGTTGCCGAATTCAGAGTAAGTCTGCAAGTGGAAATATTCTGTTGCACTAACCTCTGTCCTTGGGCTGTAGCTTTTGCGTAGCTTACGGGCACCAGCAGCGTAAGCTTGATGGGAAGCTCTGTAGAGTTCGGTGTCTTTTTGTTCCTTGGCTTATAACACCTGCGAGACATTTAAGTTGTGAGTTTTGTTAGGGCTTCTGCCCTTAACAAGGGGACATCAAGGCAACTGGAAAGCATTCGGAGTGGTGCAGAGGCTCCCCTGGTTTTTGTTTGGGGTAACTTCATACAAGAGAGCAGTTTGCCTTCTCGAGAGCCCTGTGAAATCCACGGCTCCCACACATAGAGGGCTTGGCTGTTACAGACAGCACTGACCGAGGCGTAGGGTCAGGTCGTCCTAGTGAAGGAGGAGTTGAGGGTGGCTGAGGAGTTGGTGGCAAGAAATTTGTCTAAATGTCATGGTTTATCCCCCACCAGGAGCTAAGCGTCACGCTCGCTCCTTCCCCTTCTCAGTGGGATGGGGAGGAGAGTCGGGGGAAAAAAAGTAAAACTCGTGGGTTGAGA